AGCCACCTGGATCCAGGGGCAGGAATCCCCATCACCACCTCCTGCGGCGGCGCCTGCTGCACCGGCGGCGGCGCCCTCGGTTGGATCAGGCGGTAGCGGAGGGAGCAGAACACCTTCCACTTCTCCCTCTGCTCCGGGACCAGCGACTCCGCCTCGAGCATCGCCCACAGGAGCACCCCCATCGCCGGCTGGCGGTCGTAGTTGGGGAAGCACCTGAGGATCACCTCTCCGCGCAGCTTGTCCCTCACCATCTCCGACGCGTCGTTGGGCGACTTCGCCGTCAGAAACCATAGGTCGATCTCCTTCAACCGCCTCATCAGGATCTCGTCGCCGTCCGACCGCACCCACATATGTTGTTCCCTCGTCGTCATCAAACCCTAGCAGTCGCAGCGGCGCGGGACGGTGGTTTCCACGGGCGAGATTTGTGTGGTGTGGGGGAGGAGAGAGCCGAGGCGCGGTCTAATATCCTCACGCCCGCCCCCTCGCTCGCCATTACTCACCTCAAATTCCACTCCCACCTCGCCCCACCGGTCAGCCGCCGCAATTTCTGCGACGTGGCACGTGAACACCATCTCCTGGCCCACCTGCCACGCCGCATCATCCGTCCCACTGCATGCATCCACCACCACCCCCCTCGTCATCGGGGAGCTCCACCCGCCGCCCTCGCCGGCGAACGTGGCCGTGGTGGGGCACCGGCACCGCGCGCAAAAGTCCGGCACGAACACACAAGGGAGACGTGTCATTTTTCACCCGCACATTGATGTTGCTCCAAATCGCCATATCTGATCAAGGAAATTAAGAACCACATGTTAAAACGGGAGTTTAAACCAATTAAGATAGCTAGGTCTCAGAATAAGGTTTCACATTGTCCCGCTAATTGCGCTCGCACGGCTCATACCACCGCTTGTTGGTTGCAGGGAGCCCCCTTTCATCCATGATCTTGTTTTAGCAGATTGTAACCATGTTGCTATGCAATAAAACTCCATGATCATCCCCAAACAAACATGTTCACCACCACGGCACAACAGGGCAATCAAGGTCCTTGCTGAGGCAGTTGCCGTTGTGCACCTACAATAAAGCATTATCAAATGTAAACTCAACTCGGTGTTAATCTTCTAACACAAGTATAATTTGTTCAAACTGATACGTTTTTCATGCCAGTGATTTGATTCACAAGTTGATGCAAATATTATTTTTTCCAGTGGTTTGATTCACAGGTTGAAACATGATTAGTTGGCTTCTTAAGTTTCATGTCTTTGGAGCAAAACTTGAGATGATTAAATCTGTTTTCTCTATACTTTCAACTATTTGTATGATGGATCTAAAATCTTAAGGAGGACGGATAGTGCTCAATTTTATTTGCACTTAACAAATACTTTGCTGGACAAAAGTCTCAACAACTTATACAGCAAAGTAAACCTCCGATGGGTGAAACTCACTCAAGAAAATTACTATAGCACATGACATAAATTCTCTGACATACGTCACCTGCCTTTACAGTGGCTGACATGTGGGTCCAGGAACAAGCTGGCCCATAATTTCCATGTCACAGAAGAGAAAATTGATCTAATGTCTAGTAACTGTCATTCTGTAGATAAAAGATTGCCATGTTAAATAAAGATTTGCCATGGTACAATAGAGAAAGTTTTCACACGTGTCCAGAAAATGACATGGTACAACGGAAGAAGAAAAATGCCATGCTACACTAGAATATGCCACATGTTTTTTGATAACTTCCATGCTACGGGGAGAGGTTCACATGCTCTGGACTTTGCGGATAGTGGTATCATTCAATCCAAGGGTGGATGGAGCTAACAGTCGTGTTCATCTCTAGGATGCTCAAACGAGCGAATGATACGCCCACATGAATTGCCACATGTCACCATGTTGATATTCGTATGTGGGATCGGACGCACCACAGAGTGTTCGCTCAAAAAACCCTTCTCAGAGCATGTTCGCTCTATAACATTTTTGAACAACTCGCCTTTTTTCACACGAGCAAGCGATCAGTTTTGTGTTTTACTCCCTATCTCTCCTAAGTCAAACCACTTTAAGCTTGAGCAAGTCTATCAGTAAATATATCAACATTGACAACACAAAATTAGTTCAATTAGATTCCTTATTAAAAAAAGAATGATGTCGTAGATCCTATCAATTTTTTCTATAGACTTGATCGAACTTATAGAAGTTTTCCTGAAGATAAATATGGAACTTCGAATAATTTGAAAGGAGAGAATACTCGGAAAGCTCAAAAAGGAAGATAGGGTGATTCACGCCCTATTTCCGAGAGTAAACACCATCTCATCATGCATGTGCATTTGTGGCGTCAACATGGAACTATATTTGGAAATAAGTAGGTCTATTTGTATAAACTTTACATTAGAAAACTCTCCTTCCCATTTATTTTTCAAAACTGTTTTGGACAAATCGGAAATTGGTTTTTCTTTTAGTATTAGCTGAAAGTGGTTAACCGCAAAATAGAAAGAAATTGGTTGTACATTTAATAAAGTGACTGCGTGCATCGTCCAGATGCAGAGGCCGGGGTCTTCCTCCTTTTCTAAAAGAAAACATAAAACTGGTAAAAAAAACAACAACTCCAGAAGTAGGGAGTGACCATGGGGACCTCCTAATTAGCGCTTTAGGGCCAGTTAGGGGATGTGGCGCTCGCGTGATTCGCTTGCCTTGCTCGCCTCACTGGCCCACTAACAATTGACAGCGAGGAGTTGAATGCTGATGTGGCATTGATCATTGACTTCCAGACCACATGAATTAGAAAAAAACACGAGGTAAGAAAACCAATTTATTTTGCAAAAAAGGCAAAGTTTGTGAATTAAAAAATATTCACTGATTTTAAAAAAGTTCACAAACTTAAAAAAAGTTCATGAATTTAAAAGGAATCATTGATTTGAATTTTTTTAATAAGTATGAAAATTTCATTGATTTATAAAAAGTTCAACAGTTAAAATAAAATTCACCGATTTCTAAAAAGATCATCATTTTGTAAAAAAGGTTCACCGATTTTGAAAAAAGATTCATCAATTTGAAAAGAAAAAATGACAAATTTTTAAAAATTTCCTACAAAAAACCATAAGAAATTCAAGGAAAAGAATTTGAAAATAGAAATCATAAAAGAACAAATGGAAAAAGAAAAGGAATATAGAAAAGAAAAAAAAACGGCCTAAAAACAGATAGGAAAAAATTATCCATGAAAAAACACGGGAAGACTTATTTTTCAGGAAAAAATACGGAAGACTAAGACTGTTTACAATGCTAGACTAGCCAGCCCATTTCGGTCGGCAGTGTGCGCCGCGTACCGAATATACAAGATCGAACTTACCCCGACACAACCTGTGGTTGGATAAGGACAGTGGTATCCCCAACCCATCAGGGTTCAAGTCCAGGTGCTTGCATTTATACTGGATTTATTTCAGTTTTTGGCGATGCGTGTTAAGTAAGAGAAGATGTTTCCGTCGACTACGAGACGCCTACGATGACATCGTAAAATCTTAAAATGATATGTTGCCTTGCTCTCTCGAAGGTGCTCATAAAGATGGGGCATTTCATAGAATTGAGTGTATATGTATATATATGAGTATTTGCGTGTGTACTGTGTTTTAAAAAGAAAAGATCAAACATGTCATCGCCTCGATCGCACGCTAAATGGGACATGCCCATAAGCACGTACAATATGCACGGAAGCAAGTATGCTGGCTCTTTTTTTCCCTTCATTTTTTTTGTTTTTTAAAACATTCAAAGAATAGATTGGAAACATTTTAGAAGAATGTTCGTGCAATGTAAGAGATCTTTCTTGAAACTGGAAAATTTACATACCATTCAAAAATATATTTGTATCCTTTCAAAAATTTGCACACATTTAAAAAAATGTTCATATGTTTACAAAATGTTCATTAAAGTATGAAAAAACTTGCAACTTTGAAAATAATGCATTACATATAAAAAATGTTTGCACCATTTGAAAGTTTTTTCATAACCCTTAAAAATATTCCAACATATAAAATGTCCAGGAAAATGTAAAAATTAGTTCACGTATTTTTTGGAAAATGTTCATGACATGTAAAAAGAAATTTTCATACACTAAATATGGCGGATTACAAAAGATCATCAATTCGAAAAATAAAAAATGAAAAAAATAAATGAAAATGAAAACCAGTAAAGAAAAAGACCGAACTAAATCTTCCCAAAATTGGTGGAAGGTTTTCAAAGAGAGTACGAAAATTTCTCGGGTACAACCGCTGTACTGAGACGGCCCACCGCGAGGGATGTCATAGTCCAGAGCTCCATACATCGTGAATCATATTCGCCCCTCATTCGACGCTTTGCACACAGTTGGTGAGAGAGTGATCTAACTGGGCCGCCCCGTTAAGGTGTTCCACCGATCCCGGTTTTGGGAACCTTCTAGGAGGTTTCTCACCCGGTTCAGGTGCCTTTTTTGTTTTTCCTTTTTTTCTTTCGAGATAGTACGAAATGATTGTAAGGGCTCTGTGATTGAGTAATGCAAGTTTTTCTCTTGGAGAAAACAATTTGCCTTTTTTATTTTTTAAAAAGTTAGAAATTCATAATTGTTTGGAATTTCCAAAAAAGTTTTTTCTAGAGAAATCTCCATAAGAGTTCGTTTTTTTTCCAAAAAATTTAGTTTTTGTTTTGAGACAAACCAAAAAGTTTTTTTTTTCAAAAATGTTAGTGTTTCTAAAAGCCGAGGCGGCTCTGTCAGGAAACGGCTAGCCCAACGAGATCGAGGCCTAATCCATTCCGGCCCACTTAACAGCGACCGTTCCGCTTGCTTTGTGGCGCGGCATGCGACCGGGGCAACACGCCGTCTCCTTCCCCACATCGTCGTGAATCCCCAATTCCCAACTCACGCGCTCCGACGACCAAACCCTAACCTCGGATCCCCGGAAGCACGCCCAATTCCCCAACCCTCCCCTCAGATTCGGCATGCCAGCCCCCCGAAACTCCAGCCCGTGACCTCGCCGGAGACGATGGCCTCGCGGCCTCTGCATCCCCGCCGGATTCGGCCCATCGCCGCGGCCTCCCTGGTGCTCTTCCTCCTCTTCCTCTACACCCGCTCGGGTGGGGACTCTCCGCGGCTCCCGGGCTCCGATTCGCGCTCGCTCCACCGCAGGTTCCTCTCCGGTGCCGATCCCGCCAGCCCCGCCGCGTCCAGAGGCGGGAACCTTTCGGAGGTCACCGGGGTGAACGGCGAGCAGCTGGAGAACCCCTCCACCGCGTGCGCCGGCATATCGCGCCACGAGGGTTTCGGGTCCCAGTGCGAGTTCCTCCGGGCTCACCCGCAGTGCAGCTCCGGCGGATTCGTCGACTATCTGGACTTCTTCTACTGCAGGTGCGAGAGATTCAGGCTGCTTGGATATGCCGTGCTTGCAGTGTGCCTAGCGGCGCTGTTCTACATGCTCGGTAACACGGCTGCGGACTACTTCTGCTGCAGCCTCGAGAAGATGTCGGCGCTCCTGCGGCTCCCACCGACTGTGGCCGGTGTCACGCTGCTCCCCTTTGGTAATGGTGCTCCTGATGTGTTTGCCAGTATTGCAGCGTTTATGGGGTCTGGCGCCGGGGATGTGGGGCTGAACAGCGTGCTGGGCGGAGCGGTGTTTGTTACTTGTGTTGTTGTTGGGGCAGTGTCGTTGACCGTTGCAGAGAAGAATGTGCAGATTGATTGGAGGTGCTTTGTGAGGGATGTTGGATTCTTCCTGATCACCTTGGTGGCACTGTCGATTATGTTGATTGTCGGGAAGGTGACCGTTTGGGGAGCTATGCTGTTTGTGTCGATTTATGTGGTTTATGCATTTGTGGTTGCTGCAAATGAGTTATTAAGGAAGCACGCACGGATGCTGAAGTTTGATGTAGTCACACCATTGCTTCCTGTGAGGGGAAGTATCTTCTCACACGGACTAGAGGAGGATGATTCTGTGTACAGTTCACTTCTTGAGGAGGACACAAGTGATGAGGCGGCCCAGGTAAACACATCATTGCCGCAGTGGATGTGGGCTTCTCATGTGGCTATCTACTCAAATCAGGGGAGAGATGGTTCACCTGACAGGCCTTTGTGGGGTTGGAATGAGGAAGGCAGAGTGGATACCTCCACGCTTAACTACTCCAAACTGTTTCTGTTTTTGGAGCTACCCTTGACAATACCAAGAAAGTTGACGATTCCAATAGTTGAGGAAGACCGCTGGTCACAAGAATATGCTGTTGCTAGTGCTGGCTTGGCACCTCTACTCTTAGCATTTCTGTGGAACAGCCAGGATGGAGTATCCACGGGTGCCAGCGTAGCAGCATATGTGATAGCTGGTGTTTTTGGGATTGCGATTGCTGTTCTTGCTTTTACATTCACCAGTCCCGACCGCCCTCCAAGGAGATACTTACTCCCATGGGTGTTTGGAGGGTTTGTGATGAGCATCGTTTGGTTCTACATCATTGCCAATGAGCTGGTTGCACTGTTGGTTGCATTTGGAGTGATACTTGGAATTAATCCGTCAATCCTTGGGTTAACGGTGTTAGCATGGGGCAATTCGATGGGCGACTTGATGTCAAATGTGGCCTTGGCAATGAATGGAGGAGACGGTGTGCAGATTGCTATGTCTGGCTGTTATGCTGGGCCTATGTTCAATACACTTGCCGGCTTAGGAATATCGATGCTGCTTGGAGCTTGGTCGACAGCACCCAACTCTTATGTTCTTCCGCAGGACCGCTCTCTTATTTACACGATGAGCTTCCTGGTTGCTGGATTGATCTGGGCACTTGTTACGCTGCCACGGAGCGGTATGCGGCCTAACAAGACGCTTGGGGTTGGCCTCATTGTTCTCTACTCAGTTTTCCTTTTCATTAGAGTAAGCAGTGCTATGGGGATATTGCCACTCCCGGGCTTGAATTAGTTGTTTGTGTCTATTGTACATGACTGTCCTGTATACAGATGAAATGGGGTTGTACATTGTTCCTCTGTTCTGTTGTTATGCCTCAAATTTGGTTGTATGCCTGTCAGGCTTTCAGAGACAATAAAGCCAGAGCATGCCTGCAACTGGTCTACTTATTTGTAAGCTTAATCACCTTTCATGCTGATAGCAATAATCTAAACTTCTGCTGTGTCAACTTATCTATAAGGTACAAAAAAAGGTACTCCATTTCTGTGCAGCAGCGTTATCTTTTGGTTTACTTGCTGTAGAGCTGGTGCTTCTGTCTGATATGTTTTGTAGGCTATGTGACAAAAAAATTAGCAGTTTGGCACTCTCACTTGTTGCTTGTAGTCATGCTTAGCTTGTTATCTAGTACTCCCTTCGTTCCAAAATAATTGAAGTTCTAGAATTTTCCAAGTCAAAATTAAGTTTGACAGTGTATAGAAAAATCTGCAATGATCTATGATACTCCAAACACATTGACACAGCAGAATCAAATATATGTAGGTATGTTTCATAATGAATCTAATGAAGTAAATTTGATTTTGTAGATGTTGATATATTCTTATATAGGCCTGGTCAAACTTAATGAAGTTTGACTTAGGATAATCCTAAAACTTCAATCATTTTGGAAAATGTTGGCTATTTCGCATGCAAAGGCCTCCATAAGATGCTCACTGTGGGGTTGAGACGCAGTGAGGATAATGGTTGGTCACTGGAGCAGTTGGCACACTCGCGTGTTTTATGAGTAGCGGTATGCAGTCATGCTAGGACCAGAGTAGCGGCATTCAGTGCCGAATCCAAACGGCCGTTTTTGTCCGTCTTTTCATTTGTTTGGGTTGAACAACGAAGTGGTGTCCGGCCGCTTCTGTGTTAGAGCATCTCCAGCCGCGCCCCCAGAACGGCCTCCCCAGGCGATTTTTTCGCGCCGACGCCGAAAAAACGGCCCAGTCGAACCCCTAAAGGCCCATTTTTCGCCGGCTTGGACTGAAATTGGCGCCGGCGGACCCAGACTGAACCCGGCGCGTTTGGGGCGCCGGCCGAAACGTTTTTGGCGCGAAAACTGACGGCCCCTCCTTGGCAGCGACTCGGCTCTTCTCGCCGCTTCGTCGTCCTCATTGCCTCGGTTCCCTTGGAGGAGATAGCCGCTCGCAGGCGTGGGCGCGAGGACGAGCACGGCGTGGTGATCCTCGACAGCGACGACGACGAGGACGCCCCCGGATCGTCCAACCCACCGCGCCAACCTGGGGAGGGGTGCAGCAGGGACGGTGACCGCGGAGACGGCGGCGACAACGATGACGACGACAACGACAGCGGCGACTACACGCAGCTCTACAGGCGCCTCGACATGTAGAGCTCAAGGGCGCGCGGGCGGCGAGGGCGAGGGCGGGCCTAGTAGTGTTTTTTTCTTTTCTGTAAAATATTTTAAATATGTATGAACTCGCCGAAATTTGGTTGAATTTAACCGTGTTTTAAACGAACTCGCCGAACGTTTTCTTTAAAAAAAAATTAGACGCGCCTGGGGACGGCCCTGGGGCCGGCGACTGGGAACCAACTCACCCCAGGCCAGTTTTTTGCACCGGCTCGCCCCCAGGCGGCGATCTTAGCGTTGGCATTGCGTCCAACCATCGGTCGATTCATTTGGTCTGCCAATATGCACAAATTTTTCATGCATGCATCTAACTAAAAGAACATTGCACATAACTCTAATACAACCAAATAAATCACATAGTACCACTAAATAGAAATCGCATAGTTTACAATCAAATTTAAATTGCCACAAATACATTAAAAAAAAAAGAATCAATACATCTATTGGTTGCGAAGGCGAGTCCACACATACTCAACCAAATTATTTTGGAGTTGAATGTGACTTGCTCAATCACGTATTTCTGTATGTAATTGGATGAACTGTGCAAATGTTGTCGGTCTATAGTCAGACACAACATTTTCACCCTAAAATTGAAACCCTTGATCGAAGATGTTGTCATTAAGCTCATCCTCCTCGATCATGTTGTGCATGATCACACAAGCAATCATTACCTCCCACATCTTGGTGCTCCATGTTGTAGCAGGGTGTCGAACAATAGGCCATCGAGATTGGAGCATACAAAAAGCATACTCCACATCCTTCCTAGCTCTCTCTTGTGCTTGGCCAAATCTAGCCCTATTCTCTCCTACTGGATTGTAGATTGTCTTCACAAGAGTTGACCACTGAGAATAGATCCATTAGCTAGGTAGTATCCCTTGTAGTGGTGGTCACTGATCTCAAAGTTGACTTCTAGGCAGTTGCCTTCCACAAGCCTTCCAAACACTAGAGAGCGCTGAAGCACATTGATGTCATTGTGAGAACCGACCATGTCAAAAAAAGAGTGTCAAATCCAGAGACCTTATGAAGCCACAACTTCAAGTATGATAGTGCAAGCTTTCACATGCCCCTTATATTGCCCCTGCCAAGCTAATGAATAGTTTTTCCACTTTCGGTGCATACAATCTATGCTGCCAAGAATTCCCAGAAAGACTCTATCTACATTGATCGCCAGCAACTGGGGTGTATCCGCGACATTCGACTCTCTCAAGTACTCTGGGCCAAACACTACTACCACGGCCTGGCAAAACTTGCACAATGATGCAAGACATGTGGACTCACTCATGCGGACGTACTCATCCACAAGATCACCGGAAATTCCCTATGCAAGCATACGAATAGCCACGTTGCATTTCTGATAAGAGGGGAAACCGACCTTTCCAAGGGCAACCTCCTTGCAACTAAAGTAATCATCATATCCTACCACTCCCTCCCGAATACGGTTGAACACATGTCTCGCCATCCGAAAGTGATGCCGGAAAAGTTGGGGTTAATAGAGTGGGGACATGCGTTGAAAGTAATTGGGAAAGAGTAGGCAATGGCCACTCTATCTATTGCGATTCAAAGCCAGAGCATGGCCTGGGATTGATCCCCTAAACCTCGGTCGCTTCCTAGCAATGTGATCATTGACTACCAAAGTCACAACCACAAAATCCTCATCGTCCGATGAACACATGAAGTTGCTGGAAAAAAACTCATCCCCACTATCCATGGTATCTTGCGGACAAAGCGTTAAACACCTTGCGGGTGTAGTGGAGTAGCGGCCAGTGAAGAGCCCCGCGTTCTCCCCGAATAGGCACCATGCCCTATCGAAGCGGAGGCGAGGGAGGCCGGCGACCATGGAGCTCGATGCCGACGGAAGTGGAGGCAAGGGCGGCGCTAGTGGTCGGGCCTTCCTGTGCTTTGACGGCAGCAAGAAGAGGCCACCAACGCCGTCAAAAGTGAGCCTCCGTTACGGCCTTGAGGTGGCGGAGTGGGTGGACGCGGGCAGCGGCCTAGGCAGCGTCCAAGCGACCTGAAGTGGGTGGCGGAGGGGAGAGCGGTGTACCCGAAGGGTGTCAGGTGTGGAGGGGGAGGAATGGCCTACGTGCCACAGACAGGCAGGCCAGGGAGGGCAAGGGAGAGCATCATGTGCGTCTGCCCACTATCAGCGTCAATGCAAAACATACCCAAATTTGGGTCGGAAAAGGGTCTCGGGCTAACGAAATGGACGGCCGTCCGTTTGCGTCGCCGTGTTGGGTCATTTTTTTCTATCCGTTTTGACCCAAATGGACCCGCGCGGACCAAATGCGTCAGCGCGTTGGAGTTTACTGTGGCCTCGAGCTATGCTAATACATTATGATGATGTCTGAAATGACCACACGGGTGTATAGTGCGTGGTGATGGTTCGGGTCGATCAGGGCCGCCACAGCAGAACCAAATCCTCACTCTGATCAGGCACGGGAAAGCTTTGCCGTGAAGGCAGCTCTGCGTGGGAAGGATCCTTAGATCCGAAAACAATAAAAGGACTCTGGAGGTTCTTGAGGGGCTCCTTAGATGCCCGAGGTATGATACTCCTCGGTCAAGACTTGATCACTTTGGAACAACGCATGGAGAAATTGTTGAACTAGCTTATAAGGTCGAAGACCGGAGACGGAGAACAACTTGGAAAGACCGGGGAATGTCCTAGACTTGAAGACCGGTTGAGGGGCTGCTGATGGTGTCCTAGACTAGGGAGTGCTAGCCATGTCGGCTCCCGGCGTGTGGACCAGGCCGAGAACCCCCAAAGTTATTAACCAGTTGGCCACATTCGTCGGGTCCCTGGAGCGCCAAGAAGGAATCTTCCAAAGACTTGACACATACTTCAAGACAGAGAGGTTCACTTCAACACTTTTACCATTATCTGAGCTCTCTTTAACCAGGTCCGTTGCCTACCAGCAAAATCTTCAATGATATCACAATCGAGAGGTGCGTGGATGCACATTCAACGAAGGAGATCTAGTCCTTAGACTGGATCAGCAAAAGACGCACAAGTTAGGCCCTCCATGGAAGGCACCTTTGTTATATAAAAGGCACTCAACAATGCACCTACAGGTTATATAATCTTTACAAGAATGTGGAAGAACCACATGCATGGAATGCCGATATCCTCCACCAGTTTTTTACTTGAACTTTTATCAAAGTTGTACCTAAACAATGATTGTTTCGAGTAAATCTCAGTGAATAAAGGTTTTCTGTTTATTATGAGTATTCCTTAGTAAAAGTTACTATATCACATTTGAATGCCATGCCACAATCGGACTCTATGCTACACTCGGGGGCTGCCAACCACTCAGATACTACGCCACACTCGGGGGCTACGCCCTATTCAGATGGTACGCTTCACTCGGGGGTTTACACGCCATTTTGACACTAAGGTTCATCTAGTATCTATCACAAATGCAAATGCAAGAGCAACAAATTACATGCCTAAACCCACCTCGCTCAGATTAGGGTGTGCTCCCAAAGAGACACCCAGAGGATGAGAGACCTAATACTTCCTATTTTTGTCAAAGATTTTAGTCAATCCGAGTAAATCATCTTTTCCCTCTTAAAGACTTGGTCGCAACATGTTTGCCTATGTGACCAAAGGGGG